GTGTCCTTTTTCAGCGGAAGGAATTGCGCTATCTTAGCAGTCATCAACTAATAGCCTTCCATTTTACTGTGGTCAATGGCACTGAACCGGAGGATAGTGAAGAGATATTCAGGTTGGATATTAAGAATATTCAACAAGACATTCATAATCAGTTTCCCGAATCACATATTATTGTATTACGGAAATGTCACAGTAAAAGTGAACAAGGTTCTGCTGGCCTTGTTTTTCTCTGATCTAATAAGACTGTGAATATTATTATTTGTTTGCAGTAACACATTCCCAGACATTCCGCTAAGTACGTTACGTTTACTTGATGAATCATCGATGACTGGAGTTGACCATGGAAATCGTTTCCATCCTGGTTCTATGTATGCAATTGTTGGTTTTCGAAAATTTGGTGGAGAAGTTCTACCGGGGAAAATGTTTGAGATATAATGATTCTTATTTTTTCATATAATTGGTTATTTCACAGACACAGTTCAGATGAATTTTGATGAATGATTCAGTTGTTTTTCAATTCAGTTGTGTTAAGGCCATAAAGACATTGTTATGAAGATGTGATAAATATTTGGTAATATATAAAAACGGATGATTCATTTGAAGTGTCGAATATCATGCAAAATATGCAAACTAAACAGCCAATTTGTTGATTACTACATACTTTTTCAAAGTGCAATGCCAAAGGTGCACATAGCCAGAAGTGCGAATCCGGCTCAGTGGAAAGAAACGGAAATATGATGTATGAAGCAAGATTCTATGAAGTATGATCCCAATAATTCCTACGATAATAATTTGACTGTTGGTCTAATTGTTATAAAAAAGATGAAATGAAATGAGTTAACAAGCAGTATGCCATTTTTATACCAAATTTTCTCAACATTAAAAAAAAGACAACTGAAGAAATGTCTTATCATTTCTTTTTTCTTCCCAGTTTCGATAGAAAAACTGTTTATGATAGTATTTTTCACTTCTTTCCATAACCTCTTAATTTTTACCCTTATCAGAAGAAGATGAATAACAGTATGAAATCATTTCAAATATTGGCAAAACGAGACATCAATTTATTATTTCCGTGCTTATTAACATTTCCACACTCATCCAGTAATACTATATATACTTTTTTTATATATCCTATAAATCACAACAATCACTTTGTATCCATTAATAGTACTGTCTGAAGTTTTTAGAGGTTCCAAATTTCTCCACTTAGGTGGAAGTTTTATCATTGATGTTGAAAATATCAACAGATG